TATTTATTTATTTATTTATTTATTTATTTATTTATTTATTTATTGTCCGTTCATTCATTCGGTTGTTCATTCATTCATTCATTCATTCATTCATTCATTCATTCATTCATTCATTCATTCATTCATTCATTCATTCAAGATACTGTAACTGCCCATCCCACCTACATGACTGAGCAGTTCACACAATTAAAAACAAAAAGAAATAGTTATAAAAAAAAAACCTAAAATAAATTGCATTAAAACAACAGAAAGCTTAATTTGCAGGAGAGTATAGTATAATCCACACAATTACTAAGAATCTAACAAACTGATAGGCTCCACCACTGAACCCCCAATCACAATGGTAAAGCCATTAGCTCTTTGGGAAGATCAGCATGGAGGGGCCAGTTTAGCTTTGGAGGGACTGATATTATGGAAGATTGGCACTATGATAGAAAAGGTTCTTTCCCTGGGTGCTGTCAGATGACATTCTTGGTAGATGGGGCCATGCTTCTTCTGCTGGACATGATGGGATGGGTAGATGTAACTGAGGTGCATAGAAGTTTTATAAGTCATTACCAGCATCTTGAATTGAATTTAAAAGTTAGACAAGAACTTTTACCAATCCTCCAACAAACTAGGGAGTGGTGAGAGGGACTCTTGAATCTTTATTAAAATAAATAAATACAGGAGGTTTAGATCATGGTTTTAATAGACCTTTCTTCATATGAGCATAACCTTAGCTCATATGATTTTTTTTTGTATCTGCCCTTAAGAATGGTTGTAAGCAGTCTATTAGCGCCTGTTAAAACTACTGAAGTTAGGGACAAGTATATGGTGTGGATACTTTGCTGACTTAAAGGAGGGCCCTGACAGCTCAGGAAAACATTTCTAGGTAAGGCAGATTGACCAAGTTAGATCTCCAGATCTTAGGCACATTGCTTGAATAGAATGAGTGTTCAGCCATAACTCCCTTTAAAAATGCTTCCCTAGAAAACCCATACTACTGTATTGCAATTTTTGCAGAATTGTCTTATTCCATATTGATTCATAAATTGTCTGCAAGAAGAAAAGAATCCAGACAGTAACAGAAACGCACTGCTCATTTCAATTTTAGTTTTCCTTACCTCCCTCCTTAACAGTACATTAGGAATACATAACCCACTTGAAGTAGAGATCTGAGGAATTTGGATTAGACTCTTTCCAAGGACAAAATAACATTAAGATTCCAAAAATGCATCAATAATCACATGAGCACTTTTGCTGAATAAACCTTTAGTGCTGCTAGGATAGGGTGTGCTCTTCCATTAAAATGGAAGGAGTGTATAGCTGCCATTGTCTTCTGTGTATTTTCTTTGACATAATTCTGGTGTGCACATCATTTAATGGCATCATGAGAGATTATGATCCAATATTTAAAGATTTTTTACTTTGTGTGGAAAACAGTTGAACTCAAGTGCTTTCTGAGAGTAATAATT